GGGAGAAGGCGCGGGAACGGTGGGGGGAAGGTGGGGGAACGGCGGGGGAAAGCGGGCGGGGAATGGCTCAGCGCTGCTCCAACGCCGACCATTGTCACCCCACTCCGCCCTTCTAATACACCTACCATCATGAACCCAATCCGTCCTCTGCCCAAGCATCACCCTGCTAAAACCAACCTTCCCCTTCCGGCTCACCGAATAACTTTTTTAAGAGTTTTTTAAGAATTTTTTGAAAACTCAGGAACATCTGACACCAACCTAAAAAAAATAGAGAAACTTCACCTGCACCCCAAAAAGAGGACAGGAGGGGGGAAAATAACCTTTCTTCAGATGCAGATTCTAACGTTCACCCGGGTCTCCACAACACATAATAAACTCACTGTATCACCATCCAAGTTACTCCCTTCTCTCAAAAGGCAAACCCCTTGTTCCTACACTGCCCCCACCGGGAGGCGCCAGCTCTTCTCTCGGCCCAAGTCCTGAACAACCTATAAACGGACACTTCAACCCCCTAAAAGGCATGCAATTCCCCTTAGAGCATACCTCATAGGCTGAAGTTCCCTCTTTCCTTCTGGCCCACCCCCTCCAGGCAGGGCAGCCCTCTCTACCTCTCACCTTGTTGTAAACAACTTCACCCCCCTTGTCTTCTCTCCCCAACCGCCAGCACTGATCCGACCCTAAGTCAGAAAAAAACAATCCCACAATACGGCCTCCCCCCCTCTAAGGGTAACAACTCCTACCTTGTGAAACCCTCACGGGGAGAGGCTCTAACCCTAAAGAAAGAACCCTACAGATTCACACAACAAGACGTAAATATACCATACAAAGACCCAGACAAACTTTGAAACACAATTAACGAAAAAATACCATTCAGAATCAGAATTTACAGCAACAGTAATCAAAACTAGGAAGTTAAGTTTTGCCGATGTAGATTTTTTCCAATAGAAAATAACTTAAGGAACATACTTTTAGAATTTGAAAATTAGGAACAAAATTGGAGAATCTAGATGATACGTCTTTTGAAATTTTGAAATTCAAAAACAGAATTAAGAAATCTATCTAAGATGTCCAATATTGGACTCACGAGTATATAAAATCAAGAAAGTAATCCAGATCGTAGTTACGGTCAACGTCAAGAGAAGCAACTATGTACCAAAAAACATACGCGTGAGTAAGAATTGCACAAAAATCACTGCAGCAATCAATCCAGGAAAAATCAGTTAGAGAGAATTAATTCATACTAGAAACACCATCAAAATACTATCGAAAAAAGTAATCAGCAAAAACATGTTTGATCAACAGGCGAAAACAAATACAAGATCATACCCAATCAATCAGAAAATCAGATAATCCTGAAACCAGCGCACTACGAGTACCCAAGACACGACCTTCCCTTCCCGAACCTCACCTCCACACGTCACCGGCCTAATGCATTTCGACCGTCATTCGACCACTCCGGTCAAATCAAAGCCGAACGGTGACAACAGCGGACCGCAACGCATTTACCCAAGATATCCACGCCATGTTGCAGAATCTAGTTGTTGAACCCGCCAACAGCTCACCGCAGGCAGTCCCAGAAGAGGAGAACTTGTGACCTTACCAAGTATTGCACCTTCTCGTAGAGATAAGCAACAACAGGAGATTACCTCTCCATACGCTAGGAAGCTCGAAACGACCCACCAAACCAAACCCCAGCAACCACCTTCCACTGTTCCCAATACCGCAGCAAGAGTCCACCCTTCCCACACGTGCTCCATCGCAGTCGCTTTCACCCAGTAATGATCCCGTGAACGTGACCGGCACCGGTCATTTGAACCTGACCAACCGTTCATTTGGTGTTTTTTTTGTGAACGGCCGTTCACGGTGAACGGGACGACCACTAAAGAGTGGTGTTTTTTTTGTTTTTTTTTTTGGACTCCCCCAGGTACATTCGCCTCAAGCCCTACAGTGTGGTGACATTGAAAAAATTAAAAAAAATTGAAATGACCTACAAAATAGTAAACGAAAATGTTTATTTTGGCTGGTTGATTTTTTTTTTTTTCGTTTTTAGTTAAAATAAATATTATTAAAGAATTTGTTTTTTGAAAAAATTATAGGGAGTTACCCTTCGATGTCCCCCACCCTCCTATTAATTAAAAACATACCCCCCCAGCCCCCCCAAAAAAAAAAAAAAGACGCTCTCCGTGAACTCCAGGAACCCTCGTGTCGTGAACTCCGTGAACTCTTTGACCGGCTCCGTTCACAGACCCTGTGAACGGTGAACGGGGGTACGGCACTGCTTTCACCCCTCACTCATCTTCTTCCTCTCCATCATCAGCTTCCCCCATCACTTCGCACCATAACTCGACGTCTTCGCACCGCCCACTTTGTGAATCAGCGCCACCACTGGTCACAATCGGCCCATCGTGCTGACCCGGTTTCGCACCTTGGAAATGACGGGGCACAATGCTCCCCGTAGCGCGAGCCCCCATGCAGGAAGAGGAGAGTGAGAGAGAGAGAGAGGACAAAGTCATCTTACCAATCTACATTAGTCGTCAATTCAACCCTTAACCTTTCTTTCTCTCTCCTTGACAAAATACGTACATTGTTCGATGCGGCAACGAATTTATTCGCCAGCTGATCTTGGTGGTGCTTGAAGGTGCCGGCATCGACCAGTTCTCGCACTTCGGACTCCGCAAGCAATCGTGCGCTGCCGCCACGGGACAGTCGATCGCTCTCACCTCTCCATCGTTAATGCGCGATGCGGCATACTTCCACAGGCAAGCGGCGCAAATGGTCTGCCCGCAACAGGGGCAAGGACAGTCAACGAGAATATCATCAAAGCAAACAATGCACGTGGCTGTCTCTTCCCCTCCCTTTGTCTCTCCCGCTCCCGCTTGCTTCCCGCCTTGACCGCCTTCGCCCCCTTCTGGCGTTTTCTCCCCGTCGCCGCCACTGTCTCCTTGCTTCTCCCGCCCTGCTCTCCCCCTTACCTCGTTGTTCAAGACAACAGAACCACCTCCGCCGATGCTGGAAGCACCGTCGGCAGATTCCGAAGCAACCATAGTCGTCGTAGCGCTGCCGCCCGCCTCGGCATCCATCTCCCTGCGGGCATCATCGCCGCCGCCGCCGCCGCCTATGAATCCCCTGCGGCGGCGGACAAGCGCAGCCAAGTCCACGGCCGCGGACGAGGCCGCGAGGCCGCGGACATGTCCTCGCGGACGCGCGGCTTTGGCGCCACTTGGTGGCTGCAGGGGAGGGGGTTTCGGGATTCTTGAAGCGCCATTGGTTGGCGCATCCCCTGCCCCACCTCCCCACACAAAAAAAAAAGAAAAAAAAACGACTTTTGGTTGGGGGGTTTGGGCTGCCGAGGAAAAAGAATGAAGAAAAAAAGAAAAAACGCGTTTTTTTTTCTTTTCCCGTTGATTGATTGATTGGTGGGGGTGGGGTCGCCCCACCCCGCATGTGATGGATTGATTGATTGATTGATTGATTGATTGATTGATTGATTCGATGTTGCTTTTTTTTTTATTGTTGATTGATTGATTGATTGATTGAAACATGTTATTCGTTAAAACAGTACATTATTCCGTGTACTATTTTAAAAGGAATTCAAGACAGCGTTGTCCGGTGCAGCATTCCAGACTCGCACACATCCGAACCAGGAGTAAAGTCACTTATGAGCCAGAGATACAGTGTGAGTTACTTTCGAGTGGCACACGAAGTTGAGAATCGGACACATCCGAACCAGGAGTAAAGTCACTTATGAGCCAGAGACACAGTGTGAGCCACGTTCGAGAGACACACTGAGTTGAGCATTGGACACATCCGAATCAGAAGAGTAGAATAAGTTGAACTCACATGTGTGAGAAGCACAATGAGTCGAAGTTGTCCACACACGAGTATGCAGATTTGAAGGCCGATGATAGTGATGCACATTCCCAGCATGAACATATTCTTGTAAGCCTGTCTCTCTGGTTACTATATTGAATTCGTACAGTCGATCCCAATGGGAGAGAAGAGTTTCGCTTGTCCAATATGTTTAGGTGGATGTTGAAGTCCGTGACGGCTGTCAAAGCCAAAACCCACACACCCTTGAGAGGGTCGGAGGGGTGACTCCAGTTCCGAAGCTGACCGGTGCAGACCGCCACAAGATTCGTATGTCGTTTTGGTATGGCAGTCGACCGACGTAGCAAGGTAATATGCGACATGGACGGCCAAGTCGAATTCGGATTCATCCGACATGGAACTACGACGTCTAAACGCGAATCCATTAAGCCTGCACTTTCCAGGGAAGTCACAGGGGTCGTCTAACTTGCTGTTAAGTTGTGTTAACGAATCAACCGAAGTGCGCAAGGCGGAAGGGGGCTCGCATGGCAGGTCAAACCACGAATTGCAAGAACGCATGGTAGAGACGAATAATAGACGCTTCGCGTCCGCCCACGCACGTCTCGCCGACAGCATCGCGGTTTTTGAAGTCTATCCTGCGACGGGTTTCGAAGTGGCTCGACAGAAGTTATTTCGACGTAATCATCTGCATGGCAGGTGTCAGAGAGTGATGTACGCGTGCGCGCGCGCACGCGCGCGCGAGAGAGAGAGAGAGAGAGAGAGAGAGAGAGAGAGAGAGAGAGAGAGAGAGAGAGAGAGAGAGAGAGAGAGAGAGCAGAGGACATGTGTTCCGCCAGGGGGAATATGTGATTGTGCTGAATTCCCTTCCACGCCAAGACCTGGCTCAGGAGACGCGGGGGCCATAAACACATGAAGACCACAAGCCTCGCTTTGGAAACATTGTGGATAACTGTTTGGCAGGTGTCAAAGAGTGTTGTCAGAGAGAGAGAGAGAGAGAGAGAGAGAGAGAGAGAGAGAGAGAGAGAGAGAGAGAGAGAGAGAGAGAGAGCAAGAAGAGGACATGTGTTCCGCCAGGGGAATATGTGATTGTACTGAATTCCCTTCCACGCCAAGACCTGGCTCAGGAGACGCGGGGTCGATAAATACATGAAGACCACAAACCTCGCTTTGGAAAAGATTGTGGATAACTGTTTGAGAGGACAAGCAACGCTCGCGACAGATGCGGGCAAGCCAACTCGGAGTCATCCGAAATATGGAAGTACAGCAAAGTGAAAATTCGACACACCCCAGCTCGACACGTTTCAGGTACAAACTCTGGACACGAACCCATGAACCCCGCAATTGTAGGGAATTGCCAAACAACCGATAACATTCACTTTTGACAGGCCCAACAACCGCCAACATTACAGGGAAGCAGCATGGGTCCTTTCAAAGGCCAAACCACACAGAGGGGCGGAGGACAGGTACAGACCCTTGTCTTGTATTTTGCTTCTTTTAGAACAATGTAGACAAAGAGGGAGTCTCAGAGGTGAGGCTGAACATGACATCAAGAAACGTGCAATTCGGATGCACCCATCATGCGGGGATAACATCGAACCACACAGGACATGAAGTAAGGAAAGCAATAGACAAAGAGGGAGTGTCAGAGGTGCTTTAGAGGCTGAACATGACATCATGAAAAGTGCCTGTTCAGATGCACCCATTATGTGGAGATAACATCACACCACACAGGACACGAAGTAAGGAAAGCAAAAAAGACATTAACGAAAACACGCTTGGTAAAAGCGGAGAGAAGCAATTGTATACGGAAGCCAATTCGTAAACAATAGAATGCATCGTGCGAACACACCGCTGACATGAGAAGTTCGCGCTGATTCATTTCAAACCAATTCGAAAACACCTACGAAACTCCCATGAAACACAATACGAGAAAGAATCTGCAGAAGGACGAAATGTTCTGGTACGCCAACGCTTCTACACAACAAAACAACAAACAACAACACGCTCACCTACCAACACAGCAAATCGCCAAAGCTAGTCTAGTTCTGATAGAAGCGATGTGTGTATGAGAGAAACCAAAAGGTGTATGCAAACCTTTCGACAAACAGGAAGCGAACATCAATATAAACACCCCACAACTAGCCCCGTCCTGCTGCCGAGGGACACCTTTCTTGCAGACCTCGCGTGCGAAGCGGTTGAAAGTGCGACGATCGGCGGTGGCACTCGCCACCATATTCAAATACTCAACGACGCAATCGAAAAGTGTAGAATAGAAGTCATCTTCCGATGACGAACTGGCAAACGAGTCGAAGATTTCGAAAACACATCTAGAGAAGTCAATTGCCAAAAGGCTCCAGTGTGAGCCGCCATTGTGCATGGGTGCCAAGATAAGATCTTGAGATAAGAGGTCGACATCTTTAGCCGATTTGATCACACTTGCAGGCCCTCGGAGCAGCAATGTTGACGCGAAGAAAGAGTTAAAGGTGTAAGTCTTCTTGGCAGTTGTGGATCGGCTGCAGTCGTCCAGTACCATCGCCATGTAGAAATTGACGATCTCATCGTTAAGCTCCCCGTATTTATCATCGACACCCGTAAATTGTGGGACGGCAATTGCGTTGCGACGAAATTGAGCGGCAGTCGACAGCGCACAATGTCTTCGAGGAGTTCTCTTCCATCTCGAGGATACCCTGTTCAGCAAACACCCGCAGAACACAGCAAGGACGAAGGACTATGAGAAAATGCCGCCCTAGCGACGTGGGTCTGACGGACTCCCACTCCCCGGCCCGAAAATTTCACGCATCACGTCACCCCTACTTCTTGACCTTCTATATACAGTTGATTTTGAAGTAGCACTGTCCTTCTTTATGTCCTTGCAAGCTTCTTGAAGGATCAGCCTACAGTCCCTCTCGCTAACACCCGCTGCCTCTGAAACGAGTTTCGCGCGCGGGCTCAGCACGGGAACAACCAGCCGTTCGGGAGGCCCCCGATGCTTCATGTCCCGATGAAAGGAACCGGCGACGTTGCTACGTCTAGCGCCTCCGGCAAGCAAGGCAGACAACTTCGCGGGCGCAGCTGGCTCCAGCGACATGCTAGTTTCTCCAGAAATGTGTCGACCTGTATAAGAAATAGCACAACATGTTTGACTATAATAAGCGTCGGTTAAGATACCCGTTGGAAACGGCAGCTTGCAACACAACTTCCCAACAACAACGAAGCAAAGAGCACCTCACGAACGGTTTGACGAGCGGGTGGCAAGCAGAGAAGTTCACCGCTTACCAGGCTTAGCTCCCACGTGGCCCGAGTCCGCCGGTGCTAGTCCCATCACGACTTGCGAGAACCTGCATGTCGACGCCGCGACGACGTGCTCCAAACCAGCCGGGAAACTTGAAAGGTAGCAGATGTTGGCGTCGAGGACTTCAGACGGCAGAACTTCTTCCTGAAGGCTCATATCCTCAACGATCGCCACATACGATTTCATGCCGCCCTTCTCCGAACTAAAAGAGTCGAGGTCGACAAGATGAACAGGTTGTGTCTTCTCCGTAGCCCCAGTGTCGTGCTGCAGGCTCAAGGCCCCTTGGATGTCCAACAGGATATCTCCCTCCCTCAACTTCTTGTCGCCGTCGACTGTGGCTTTGTCGTCCTCACTTCCGTAGAACAAACCATCCTTAAAACCCTCCGAAGCCTTCTTCAGAATATCCTCTCCTATAGCGCCGTCATGAAGGCCCAAGTATAAGGGGTCGTCGGAACCTGGTACGACTCCCTCGTCTAGGACCATGGTCTGCATTTCGTCTCCCCGAGAGTCAATGAACATGTCTACGCCGCTCGGATTCGGATCAATCCGATTCCCCGCGAATCCATCCGCTCTGTCCAACGGGGCGACGTGTCCCCACACCACGGACTCCAAACCACCATCATTGATGGACACGTCCACGCCCCCCAGGTTCGGATTCATCCGAGACGCGGCAGGGCCTGATGGCGCGGACGTTCCGGATGTCACCGCAAAGTCGCTTTTCAAAGCCAGCGAAGTGCACACCGGAACAGGGCATTCCGGTTCTGGTGCGCGGGACCTGTCACTGGAAGGGGGCGCTAACTCACTCTCTGGGGCTTCCATGGCAACGTCTAGAACACAGACTTCAGAAGACGGACAATTTTCCTGTATGACCTTTGAAATTTCCACGGACAACATCTCGGTATCCTCACGCCCATCGGCCGTCGAAGTTGACACGACCACCTGGTTCGGATCAATCTGAAGTTCACTGGCAGGGTGTTGGAAAACCCCACCCGTCCGCTCAAGCTTCGCAGACCGGTCGGCTGTTTCGACGGACACCACAGCCAGGTTCGGATTAATCCGAACTTCCTCACGAAGGAGGACGGAAAGCGGCTCCTGGTTCTCGTAGTCGGACCCGAGGTACGTTGTCGTCTCGCTATCCGCATGACACTGAGTTCCGGACAAGGACGTCGTTATCGTGACTCCGATGGATCCGGGACAATCCTCGGAGCGTTTCTGAGCAGGGCAACTGACATCTTTAGCAGCAACTGTCCCGACAACTATGGCGCTAACATGTGTCGTGCTGGTGGACCTAATTATGGACTCCTGCTCGGCGGGTTGCGAAATCAATCCTGGCGTGAAGTCGTTTCCCGTCTCTATCGAGGCGCTGCATGCTACCACCGCCGCCTCACCGTCCCCGATACCCTCTCCGTTGTGATGCTTCTTCTTCTCTCCGCTGCGGGGCTTTTTTTTTCTCTCCACTGCCCTTCTTTCCCTCTTTGTCGCCTTCGTGCTCAGAAGACTGTCTTCTCATCAATGGGCGGTCACTTCCTCCCCCCGATTCGTGCAAACCACCGCCTTGACCATCCCCTTCATCGTCCTTGCCTCGAGACTTCTTCACAACTGCTACGATCGGCGTAATCCCGGGAAGCTCCCAATTCACTTTGCTCAATGATGGGCTTGACGGAAGGCTGTAGAACGCGGAGGTTATTTCCAACCATTTGTTGGAAGCTAACAGATCGAACAAGCTCTCCGCGTATGCTCGCAGAGCAGGGTCCTCCTTGTTTCGTTGATTAACCTCACTTAAGTTCTCCAATACCGCGTCGTAGGCTTGAGCCCTGAAAGTGCCAAGTTCCCATCGCTCATCGTATGCCCACCCCCCAGTATGCTCCCTCACAACCACTGCCCATTCGTCGTCAAGAAGGACTGGTTGGAAGTGGTCGGGGTGCCATACGATATCATGGCCCCAATCTTCTGCTTTGGAAAAGGTGTGCTTGTCGCCCATGTGGTACGGCACCGAAGGATTCAACAGATGCGGATGGTCAAGAGGAACTGGTTGGCCTGGTTTTAAACGTTCGGGGTGCGGTGTTAGACGAAGTGCCTCCCCTGGCGAGCTCTTCAGACGGGACAACCCACCCCTCTTGASAGGCGCCGTGGAGGACCYGGGTGTGGGACCGCCTGACGTGKGTGTAACGACCGGTGTTCCCRGTTTGCMTACCGAGGGCGACTCAGAAGGGAATTGCTCRTTGAARATTTTAAATTGGYCATCCAAATCGAAAAGGTCGTCCTCGACGCTCACCTCCTGCTCAGTGTCGATATTGAAGTCGTCGTCCTCGCCAAATGCCAGCCTATACTTGTCCAAAGTGAAGTCCTCCGGTTTTTGCACACCTTTATTGAAGAATACGTATTCCAACCTCCTCATGAAATCCATTACGCTCGCCCGACTCGCCTCGTGGTATCCCTGGAGTACAGCAACGGCGACTTCCTTTCGCCGCAGGAACATCTCTTCCAGTCTCCACCGAGGTGTAGTTGCGAAAAGGAAGTCGTAGACCTGGCGTCGTTTCTTAGGTGTTAACTTGATGAACATGTCCTTATCAGGATCATATACTGGCTCGACGGTTACCTGGTGGAAATCGTAATCGTAAGCCCCGGACTCGACTTCGTGGACAACAAATTGCTGGGTGTATTGAAGTTGTGTGCAGTCCCCATCAAGCGCCAAGATGTGCCTGCCGGTGTGAAGCATATTCCACACCACCTGTGCGTGCGGCTTGCCCAGGAACAGCACGGCATCCGCCACACCACAGAAGAACTGCAGCTGACTACACAATTGACTGGGGTTCCTCTCAAGGTCCTTGTACACAGTCCCCCGCTGGGTGAGGTTTTCGAAGTCTGCGAAATTCAAAGACTTGAAAGGCTGCTCCACAACGTCCGTAGGTGTYGCTCTYTGCTTCYTRCGGAGAGCAGCGRCATCGTCTTCGRCAAGAGMTCCCTCRTACACAGGGTGAGTCAGCAGCAGCGGATCCTCGCCTTTGAAAAGGATGTGCATCACATCCGGCTCCTCCCACAGGCTGTTACCGAACTGATGGGTCTTCTTCACCTGCATTTTGCGCACCCAGTTCCCTGTGTAGCAACGTGTTGCCCCGAGTGCAGACAAAGACGTCATGAATGGGAGGTTCCACAGGCAGGGGACGAACACCACCGACGTCCAATAGTCCTGACAGACGAAGCCGAGGCAATCCCTAAGAGATGCGAAAGCCCCCGCATCCCAGCGCGACCGATCAACGGTTCCGCACAAGTCGAGCACGCAAGTATGTGCGCGTAACTGATGTGCCAGTTTCCTTAGCGCGTCCTTATGATCCGAGGCATTCAAGGGTTCCACGACGAACGTGGCCAGCGTTGTCACTGCGCTTGTCTTTCTCCATATAATGTTAACGCATTCATCAATGCCTTGAGGACCCTTTTTTATCTCCGTGCGATCTCCGCGCGATCTCCAGTAATCACCGACAGGACCACCCGTTTCCACTCCGCCGGAAAATGTTGGTCGTTCACGAGGGCCAAGGTCTTCTTCGTGTTGGCGTCATGGGCACACCCTAGAAACTGAGGGCACTTGTTAACGTACGAGCTGTCAGTGAAAAACTTTCTGCTCTCGTTCCAAAGCTTTTCGTCCAGACCTTTGTCTGCGTACTCTTCAAACAATTTCTGCGTGGACCTAAAGAACGACGCTTTGACATTCCACTCCTCCTTAAGCTTGCCCTCGTACTCGAACTCAACGTAGTCCCACAACCTCAGCATAATCCGGTCGATTTTTATTATGCCGACCATATCCTTCACGCTGAACTTTCCCTGCTCCGTCAACTTCTTGTTACTCCCTTGAACCAACACGACGTTGAGGCTCAAGACCCCCTTCAACAACCTTCTTTTATCGCGGTCCGTCAGGTCTGCCAATTCCTTCCAGCAGTGCACATCAGGCTCCGGAACTTGGACGTAGTAAGTTTTTTCCTCTGCACCTTTCTTAGGCTTGCCCTTGCCCTTTCTCAGCAAAGGGACGTCCACCTTCACGTACTAGACGAGTTTCTTCTGTCCCTGGCTGTCAGTCACGATCGACACTCCCGAACTGGCCACCTCTTCATTGGTCGGTGGATTTTCAGTCCATCGTTGGCCGTTCGACACCAGAAGTTTTCCTTCGGACCACTCCTTGTAGAACTTCTCCGCCAATTGGAAAACCGACTCGTCAGCCATGGCCAGCGGCAGATAGTACCGAAGTTTCTCGACCCATTCCTTTTTCTTCTTACCATCCCCTGATAGTGCCCACAAACTCTCGTATGGCGTCATCTTCATTGCCAAGCCCATGAACCTAACCCACTCACGCACCGCCTCCTGTTTTTTCGACACATTACTGAGCACGACATGCGGTTTCCCCCTACGTTTCCAGATTTGGTGAATGTTCCGCATCGACAGAATTTGCAACCTTGGTGGATTCTTCTTGTCTTTCAGATTGTCCTCGCACCTGACATGGGCGTCGCCGTCGAACTCCTCGTCAGGGAAGTAAATTGGTCTGAAAGGCCAAGCGCCCATGTTGAACTTTTTGAACAGTGGATGGTCTTTCAGTTTCATCGTCGCCCTCGCGTTATGCTGACCACACACTGGATAATACCAGTACTTCTCCGGGTGCGTGGCATCGAAGTCTTGAGGCAGCACGCGCACAGCGGGTACCTCATCCTCCGGCGGCGCGACGAGCGGAGCCAGAACCAAAGTCGGCTTTATATATTTCTTGTTTGTGTTTTCGTAGGATTCGATCATGACCTCCGCGATGGTATCCACGAGAAACTCGTCCAGGGATCGGTGGTTGTACGCGTCTTCCCACTCAGGAATATGCAAGATTCTCTCAGGGTGGACGCGCAACACGGCGTCCTTCTGCACCTCGTCATCGGTATCGAGGAAGAACGCTTTGTGGAGGTTGAAGTTGCCGATGTTCACCTCCACGTCGCCGCCCCCCTTCCCACTAACGTCCTCATCCGCTGTCTTCTCCTTCGCCAACCTCGACCTTTTCCCTGAAGACTCGCCTGTTCTTCTCCGCGCCGAGGGCTCTTTCGGCGTATCACCCCCCTCTCCAACCCTTTTCCTCTTCTCCTGTGGACCCCACCCTTGTGTCTTCGGTGTCCGACCACTTCCTCCTTCCTTTCTTGGTCTTTTATGAGTCGCCACTCCTTCCCCTGCTTCCCCAACCGGCAAGTTCCATTTCCCTCCGGCCGGAATCTTTTCAGGCGAGCTCTGAAGACCTGCCCCCAACTCCACCAGCTTCTCGTCACCGGCAATGTTCCCCTCTGCCTCTCGTCGGGGGCTCGTCTTCGTCTCCGTCTCCGTCCGACTCGTCTCCTGCGTCCCACGCACCTTTCGAACCTGCGAGCTATTCGGTTGGAGGTCCGTCGACAACTTGGCCAACTGTTTACTTGCCTTCAAGTCACGGACCAATTCACCGACCACGGCGGAGAAGCGACTGGAAGAATGAGTTGCCGATGCCATTTCCAACCGTTCGCGAATGGAGACTCCCGACATTGTCGGAAGTGGCGATTCCCCAAGCAAACCTCGCCAGCATGTCCCCTGCAAGGCAGGTTTCGAAGGTGCATGCCCACGCTCGTCTCCCGAGTCGTCCGACATGCCCACTTGTGGATCAGGAGGCGTACCGGCAAGTCCAGCCCTGCCTCCCGCACCTTCGCGAAAACGTTCTCCTCCCGCGAACCCAATGGCACCACTAATCGATGTCCCAGGGTCCACGTCCATGGCATTGTTAGGGCCGATTGTACTCGACCAGACCTCGAGGAAGTCTTTCAAGTGCACGGCTTCGTCGTGGCATGGCGCCAAGGGAACGAAGAAGGGCAAAGCCATCGCTCTCTCGCCGTATCCCCGGAACATCCTCCCTGAAACCCCGCATCCTTTGGCGAGCCCGTCGACGGACCCGTCACTTCAGTACAATTTCCGCAAGGTGAGACGAAGAATGTCACCGTTTCCTTCAGCCCAACCGACGATGGACCCTGCGAGACGAATCGTATCGCCGCGACCCACAACGAACAAGACAGACCCGCATCGAGGTTGCAACGGGTTGGAGGTGTCTTGGCAGACCAAGTCCACATACCAGGCCCTCTTGCTGTAGTCGCACCACAAGTTGCGGGATCCTCATTGTTCGTCCACATTGTGACCTCCTGGACCAGTTGCGGCGGTTGGTGTTGACGACGTCCTTTGAGGATCTTCCCCCGTCGGAGAGGAGCCGCCACCGGAGTGGGCTTGTCCTTGAGTAACCATTCCCTGACACACGGAAGCAAGTGAACACACGTTTACACAGGAAGCGAGCGTGAACGCAAGCACGTCCCAACACCACCCTCGACCAACAACAAGCACGACGGCCACCATCCACACAGACCAGACTAGGTGCGCGATTCGGATTCATCCGAACTCCACATGGGGACTGTCGACATCAACGGTGCGGTCCAGAACCATCGGAAGTTGACAAGGTTATGTTCGGAGCCATCGGAATTCAGGATTGTCGAATTGGGGACTGTTGTGTCTGGATAATTAGCATTGTTCGGACTTTACGCTTCATCAGATCGTTGCTTAGCATTGTTCGGACTTTACGCTTCATCAGATCGTTGCTTAGCATTGTTCGGACT